ACACACACACGCATACTCACACTGTCATCCTGTAGACTCTCCCTGAAAACTTCCAGCACGTTGAGGCCCGACCGGTGTGACGGCTTCCCCCCTCAGCCTGTCAACAGCACCTCGGCCCCCTGAGGCTACCACTGTCACCACACACACACACACACACACACACACACACGAGCAGGGTGTGGGGGGGGTCTCGGATAGAAGAACACACCAGGTTGGATTTACACACTGACAGAGAGAGCCAATTATTAACGCTGACACGGGACCGGGGAGATGGGCGTGAGTGGTGAAGCGGTGGGATGGAGGGGGCGGACATAAGTGGGTCTTGTGGGGACGGGGCGAGGACGGGACGGGGCTTGCTAATTATCACCAGGACAGAGTGGGACGGAGCGGGTTGTAGCGGTGAGCTTACCTGCATGTGCTGTAGGGACATTTACCGAAGCTAATCCCAGGGTGGATGCATTTAAAGGAACACTGTGGAACATTATATGGGTCTGGATTTGGTTTTTCAGGAATTAAAAACGACAGGTTTTGTTTCAGAGCATGTTCAGCGGCTTTTGGAGATGACCGTTGCTCATAAAGTTACATTTATAAAACATGGCATATGCTTAAGTCAGGGGTTTTTGTACTTAAAGGTATACAGGAGGATTTTCTACTTCTGGGTGGATCATGTGGTCTATTGGCCCTCCCACTTGTCAATCATTCTGGTCATACGTGCTCGTCAAATAAGACCAGAGAGTTTTGTTCAAAAAGTGGAGAGGGCGGTTTTTTCCTAAAATTGGGGAAAATCCTCTGACTTACCTTTAGGTCCTGCTTCGTGGAGATTTTAGACTTCTTTCCATCATATGCAAAAGATAGAGATTTTATACTGCTTATTTTTATGCTAGAGTTAGAGATTTTATTTTATTTTAGTAAAGTTGTTGTTCATTTATTTTGTGCTGTGTGCTTCTTATTCCCACTGTCTATTACTTGTGATGCAACACTGAAATTTCACCACTCTAGGATGAACAAAAGATCTTTTAATCTTATTTTTTCACATAGAGAAGGGGCTGGATTTGGCTTTATCTTTTAACTTAGAATTGTTGCATGGTTGTTTGTATGTGTGGTCTCAGCCGTTTGACAAAGTTTTCTGATGGGAGAGCTCTGTAATCCCAGGTGACTGCAGCGAGATGGCTGAGGCTGCAAAGTGCAAACGTGTCCTTAAGCAACACACTTTACCCACAATGTCTAGTGATAATCTGGTAAGAGAACGTTTGTGTCACACATTTGTCCTCAACATTTGACCCATTCCTCAAAGCATGGCCACCATCTTGGTCAGGACTGAAGCTGGAGACTTTTACCTATGATGCATGTTTTGGGTAATGGGAGAAACCGGTGCGCCTGGAGGAAACTCATCCAGACATAGGGAGAAAAACACAACTCCACATAGACATGGGATCAAACTCGAAGAAAATGTCCCCATGTGACACGAATAAAGGATCTCTTAATCTTAGATCTACTGTGTGTGAATGACTGGTGGCACAGATTAGCTGCCTCTCTCCCATCAGTCTGCCACAGGGCATCCGGCTCACACTGTATGGAGTCTGTCCCAACACAAGACAACAGGGCTCTGAGCAACATGTGCCTCATGGGAATAGCGGCCCTGGCCAAATATGGAATAAAACATGTGTTTGTAATTCCAACATCAGAGACACTTGAGCCCCTCAAGTGCATGTGCAGGAATACAAATAAACATACCAATAGTAAACATAACATTTAGAGAATAAACAACAAGCTAAAGATACATTGACGTCCAAGTAAAGTGCCGGTGAGTTCGAAAATTCCCTTCTTCAAGAGAAAAGACGTAACAGTTAGAACCATGGAACAAGGCGACTATTCTCACACATTATCTGCTTTTATTGAGCAAAAAATCAAATATTGGAAAATAAATCAAATGTATGTCTGTTGCTTAGGTGCCTAAAGTAGAGATGTACAGGGTTTTTAGCAAAAAATGTGCTGTTCTAACCTGCAAATACTTAATAATAAGAAGAAAGTGACTGACGCCTGTAGCCTCTAAAGCAGGAATGTGACTGTTACCCTTTGGATGTTAACTTTAGTAGATGTTCATGTTTTTGACCAAATAAAACGTCAATATAATAGTACGACATATTATATAATGTACATTTTGTGGTTTAATTTCTTCCCATTTCCTCCACGTTTATCCACAGATTTGTGCAGAACAATGTAGTTTAGAAGACAATGTTCTTAAAAAGTTTGTAAAATATTACGAGAGGATTGGTATAGGCCTCTGACTATCTCCCGATTTAAGCTTTGGTGCTCAGATATACGTAAACAGACCTCAAGACTTCCATTTGTTAATTGTTTTTCTAATAAAGTTCTCTGTCTGTAGCATTTTCTGTTTTCAACTAGAGCATTGACATTAACTTGTGATTGAACCTGGACACAATGTTTTTCCCGAAGAAACAACAATACATTTAAATATTTTCAAATAATAGTTTGACGTCATAGTCTCTAAATTCACTTTTTTGTTGTCGGATTTTTAAATATGGAAATCTTCAAATGTTCCCAAATGAATGCCTCTGTTTTTGCACATTGGCTCAGCAGACCGTGGAGCATGTGGCTGAAGCTGCTGGACACTTTAACTAAGTAAAAGTACAGTGTTTAGGTGAACGTGAGCTGGATTTGAAGGTCAACACTGCCCCCACGTGGCCGCCGCCTGCCACAACAGGGCTCATAGAACACAAACTGCTCAAATGAGACGAACTCTGAGTAAACAAGAGGATTCGTATTCAGCGAACTTTGATACATTTGTGGGCCTTGGACGATCCAATATCACCGAATGGTCAAAATTATGTTAGAAGACTAGTACTCGTGCTTCCAGAATTCAGAAACTACAGGAGAACGTTTTCACTGATCTCATTCAAACTAAACCAATGGAATTCTGAGAAGTTCTCCCAAAAATATGTATGTCTAACAGATTTTTAAAAGTAAGTAAATGTAAAAGGTTCAGTTTTTCTTTTTAACCTTTGATTACTTTTGATATATGGTCCTTGTCCTTGATTGAGCGATGCACCACTTTAAAGATGAGAAAATAAAGTTTGGCATTTACAGTGTGAGTGTGGCCCAGCGAACGCTTACTTCAGTTATGAACTGTAACGCTAAATGTATTTGACAAACACATTTTGACAAACCCGACATTTCAAAGTTCTAGGATCAAATTAAAGTAGGTCCATTTAGTAAAATAATGCAGGTTGATTGTACCCAAAATCTCTTCATCTAATTACTTAAAAACTAAAAACTCTTTTGCATATCTATAAGGAAGAGATTTGTTTGTTTGTATATTTTGCATCAATGGTCAATGTTTTCCCTCAAAACTCCCTCAAAACTGGACCAAAGGAACAGGTAATGCAAATATTTTATTCAAGCACTGATTGTATTTCCAACACAAAGACAAAATATACATATACAAATATTTTCTCAAGAGTAAATTCAAAAGTACTACTACTTAAATGGCACTTATTATCATATATCAGCTCTCTTCATCCCTCAAGACCAAAGCCCAAAGCAGAACGTGTAAACCAGACCAACTGCTTTCACTTGTGCAAATGAGAGAAAAAAATACATTTTGTGACAAATAAAATCTAAAATATACTTTTATAATAGGATCAGTGGATTCTCTCTTGTAAGTGCACATTCTAAACGTCTACAGTAGCATGGTGTAGAACCCCAACAAATAAGTGGTAAAAAGAAAATATGAAAATTACATTTTTCTGAATATTGTGCCCATTCTGTCATTTTTGCACAGTTTTTATCACCCCATACATTCATCATAATACATCCGAGACTGGTTTAACGCTTGGGGCACCCATATACTGTATATAGATGGACAATGCTAACCCACCGCTCAACGAAGCCCAAGAGGAAAGTGCTCAAGGACAACGTTTTTCAGGCTCCTACTGACTTCTCTGCTCTTTAACCGATTGTGTCACAGATATTGGCCTTAAAATATCTGTAATTTAGCATTCTCTAGGATCCTAGGATTTTTATTTAAATATTGTCTTTGTAAATCCAGAAATGAGCCTCCAAGGGGAAAGTCAGGCCTTAGCGACCATCTAATGCCCATGTAAGGAAATGTACCCCAGCTAACTGTTCAGCTGTTCAAATTGGCTTCTTCCACGTTCAACAAACAAAGGAGTACTCAGTCAGTCCACTCCAAGTACATGGGCTTTGTGTGCTCCAGACATCTAAACTCTTCTTTTTAACCCGTCACTTGTCCACATAATTTAAACGAGGCTGAGTTAAGCGTCCTCCTCGTGCTCACTCACATCATGAGCGCACAGAGTTTGCCGCTTCATCCTTAAAGTGATTTTTGACTCATCTGCAGTCTTCTTGATTTATGGCCTGGGACCTGTCTCAACACTGTACAGACGAAAATCTGAATAATAAAATAAATAATGGACTTTATGTGCGGCTTTACCGGTTCGTGGCCCAGTGGTTGGGGACCACTGTTCTAATCTACAGGGAGAATAGAGAATTACATTTGAATGTTTGTCTTTTTTTAATTTATCTTCAATATGACACAGTGAAACTTGTGCTGGGATTACCATGCTTTTAGCGATTCTGACCACATCTTATCACAAACTGCTCCTAAAATTCTGTAATATATTTTAAAAGTAAATAAAGGAAATTTAGTATCTACATTATTTGATATATTTTGTTATACATTATTTAAATTACAAAGAATACAAAAATACAGCAGATACAACATCAATACAGCCATCACCATATAGTTTGTATACATTTATACATATTAGGTTTGGTTCTTGGCTGTATCCTCAATCTTGACCATACGACCACGGTGGAAAATGCTTCAAAAGTTGTTCATCTGTATCTTACCTCTGTTCCACAAAAGGTATATTTTATAGAACAGACTATGATGAAATAGTAGTTATTCTTATGAACTTGGTTGCAGCACGTGTCCTGCTGCTTGTCTCCAGCAGGTGTCAGCGCAGCCACGCGTACACAGCCTCCGTCAGCCCGCTCTGTTTAAACTCCTGGGACACCCGTCTGGAGTGGAGCATCTTGGCCTTGAGCGCGTCCATGATGTCGCTCTGGTCCACAGCTGTCGCCATGCGGTAGATGAAGCTTCCCAAAGACTCCAGCCCACGCATGCCCAGGTTCACCCCAGAGCCTGGAGAGAGAGCAGAGGACTGAGGTCAGAGGTCAGGTCCTGTGGAAAAGACCTGAGCTTACATATTTAACCTCCATCAGGACCATTTCCCTAAAGATGAAGCCTTTTCATACCATACAATGGGATGGTTTCAAACTAATGATTCCAGTAATAACAACTGATTTTTCAAGACTAATTTTGTGTTCACTTCACAGTTGTCTTCCCTGTGCCAATGAAATCATGTTCTGAATAAGATATTTTTTTACTAATGCCGCTGCAGAGGCACACATGTGAAGCAACAATCTCAAACAAAACGCTTTAAAGGGGGAAAAAAAAAGAAAAAAAATCTTCAAATCCAATAGAAAAGAAACAGAATAGAAGAAAACTGCAGAACCCAGACAGAGGAGACGGGGGGACTTTGAATAGAACAAATATTAAACAGGCCAAAGAGAACAGAGAGGGTCAGCTAGAAACCTGGTTAACGTATGTACCGGAACATGTATCACCTTTTTAGATTAACGAAGGGAAAACACACACCACATAGATCTGTATGAGTCTACAGTCAGGGCAGAAAGGCACGTGTGGCCGCAGGTTTTCATTTGAACCAGTCTTCAGGTTCAGACTGGACTCAGTTAATGAAGTGAGTGGAGTCTGATGTGGACTGCTCGTCGGAAGGAAAACCTGCATTCACACAAGCCTTCTTGGAATGAGTTTGAACCCCCTGATCGTCAGTATCTGTGGAGAGGTACAGGGCAGGGCCGTAAAGATGGCGCCGTGAGCTCTGGTGTTTGTCGTGTCTGGTGCACACTGGGGTAGTCTTGCACAATTTTTCCAATGTGGTTTTACTGCAAATGGCAAATAAATGAATCTGAATCTGATCTAAACACAAAATGATTGAAGTTTTTTTTCTTATTCAGTTTGGTTACAACATGGGGTGTATACAGAATTTCACAAGTTTATATAACTCATTAAATGAAGTTGTGAAAGGCGATTAAAGAGGGGTTCCTCCGTTCTCTGTTCTAATGTGAGGGGCTGAGGAGTGTGTCTCCTCTTGAGCTGCTCCTGTCACTGTTACTGTCACATGTTTGGTGTCTTTCCTTGTGTTGCAAGTGTGGAGAATTGAAATTGCAATCTTTGGACTTTTGGCCCAGCCAAAAGTCATACATATGTTCTTTTGTGTCTCTTTATTTAGTACATATGGTTCATTTGATTATATGGTTTAACATGTGATTATCAGTGTAACAACCAAACACATTTACCTGGGCCTGTGGCTGGGATAAAAAGCATTTTCAGACATGATTTTAAAGACATCTAAGATGATTTTATATGATACAAATCGATATAAGACAAGCATCATCCACAGCGTTCTTTAAAGCTTTGTAACTTCTGTGACTTCAGTGCGGCTAACAATACCAATTGTATTTGTGTAAAACATACATCTAGAGCAGTGTCTCCCAAAGTGGGGTCCGCGGCCCCCTGGTGGGCCGCGAGGGTACTGCAGGGGGGCCGCGGGAGGTCATAAAAAAAATAAAAAAAATAATATAATTATTTAATGTTACATTTATAATGTTTTGTTTGTAATATTAAAATATTTGTGTTCATTATTTGACTTGAATAATCCACTGTAATTATTTGTGTATGTAGCAGAGGCTATTTCCCCAAAATAAAATAACCAGAAGAGCCTATTCTTAATGTTGTCTTCTTGGTTATTATTTTGGGGGGCCACGCAGACCCGTCAGATTTTTAAGGGGGCCTCGGTGTTACTGAGTTTGGGAATGGCTGATCTAGAGCATGTTTGTATTTTATTTTGGTGGCATGTTGGTGGATCACTCATGCTACTGCAGACTAAAATTCACCAGGGCTAACCTGGAAACTTCCCCATAGCAGAGATTATGGTGTTCTGATTCGTCCTAAAAGTGTTTTTCTCCATTGGTTTTCTATAAATTCATACATTTGAGCAACAAACTTGACAAATGCATAATGGAGGCTTTTCGGCCATAGTCCATAAATTAGGAGTGGACTGACTAAGTGCTGACGTCACCCATAGTGTGGTCTTAGTGTGGAAGAGGCCAGTTCAAACATAAGCAGCTGGAGCCAATTTATTTAAATGGGCATTACTTCCGAACTTACTACTTCCACAGGGGGCAGACGTGCTCTGAGATGGTTGCTGAGGAAAACTGGAGGCATCTGATCTTCAATCCTTATATGGCTCATATCTAGATTTACAAAAAAAATATCCTAATATATCACAGAGAGTGCTAAACTATCGTTTTTTAAAGCCCAAAATGGTGACATCGTTTTTTAAAGTCCACTCGAAATAACAATTGATGGACTGGACCTGTGTGGAAGTTGAGCACGCGAGCCGCCTCTCCCTCCACGATCACCGCCACGTTGTCTCCGTGGATGTAGGCCGCACTGACCCTTCGTTGGGACAGCTGCACCTCCACCAGACGCCGGCTGCACTGGAGCTGGGGCAGTGTGACATCACTCAGGCGCGGCTCCATGTCCGTCTTGTACACGTTAAACGCCTGCTGGAAAATGCTCTTCATGATCTGCAACGTCAGATCAAATGTCTGAATCAAACTTTAGCACTTTTAGAGAGAGACATTTTGACATTACTCTGTCAGTATTTGTATATCGATGCATAAAGTCCATCCCTGAAAACTCTTCTACCTTGTTTCTATGGCACAGAAAAAAGTATGAAAATATGCGTCCAAACTGGAAGTGAGAGCATCTCCACAAACCTGACTCCTACTCGTCCCAGAGAAGAGCCTTCTACTGTTTATCACATGTAAATATTGTTCCTTTGGCTGTAATCTTACACAGCACCTACCACAGTACATACCAATAACAATGTATTCGAGTTGATAATGTTTAATGTTCATGTGATCATAGATGTGATTTCACACCTTTAAAATTATGTAAACTTTGGCAGATGTTGTGAGATTTACCTTGACATTTACAACATTAAATGTAAATCCATTCATGCTTTTGGGCTTGGGGAATCTCTCTCATAGTCGTTCAAGGCAGAACAGTCAAAAATCTTTGTAAATCTGCAGTGGGAGGTGAAGAAGTGAGCAGGTCCTGATGGAATCATGGGACACTTTAGACAAGTGGTTTCAAAGATGCAGAAAATGGCCCAAGAAAAGGTTTTTTGTGGCCCCCTAGTGGACATCAAACATTAATGTCAGTGCAGCCCCCACAGAGAGTCTGTGCATATTTGACACGTTATACATTGTTTTGAAGCTGCTGGACTCATTTTGTTCATAGAAACATGCATACATTATGTCAAAATCATGTTCAATAAAAGTAATTATTTGATCAAAAAACCTTCATGACCTTCAACAACCTTCAAACTTTCCACAAATGCGTCCTTCTTGTACTATTCTAATATTAAAGAATAAGAGCATGGCACAGTTTGAAATGTAGCGGCAGATTCTATTGATCCAGGAGTAAAACATGTAAAAAAGCGTGAAGTTTGATTCTATATCTGTCTGTGCATAGAACTGTTTGCTCCAATGTTCATTATTTTGCACACGCACAAACATGTGATTCTCCTTAATGCGACTCAGCTTCATCCAGACTTGACCTCATGCGGCCCCCAGATATACAAACCGATCCATTTATCATTTCAGATTCTTCTAAGAGTGTATTTTCATCGTGTGTGTGAAGTAGTCAATTGAGCACTGCCTTGCTCTTTCAGTCAGTTCCAGCTTGGATCCCGCTCCCCCCGCCTCCCTCTGATCTCTCCCTCCCCTCCACTCCTCACTGTGTTTCCGGCTCACCCCCTCCCTGACCCCGCCCCCCTCTGACAGCCACATTGGGCCGGCTGCGGAAGGTGCCCATCCCGAAAAAAAATCCGTGGTTTATTCAAAGCACAATGTTTTCTATCCAACTGTCTGTTGTAACCTGTATGTTATTGCTCTCTGCTGTTTATTCTACTGTTTGTCGCATGGCGCCGGAAAGATGGCGCCGTGGCAAGAGCTCTGGTGTGTGTCGTCTCTGTCTGGCGCACACCGGGGTAGTCTTGCACAGTTTTTCCAATGTGGTTTTACTGCAAATGGCAAATAAATGAATCTGAATCTGAATCTGAATCTGAATCTGAATGTGTCTTTCTCACTCAGACAGATCCAGACACTTTGACCATTACTGTGTTTATCTAGAATTGTCAAACCACTTTTCAAAGTCACCTGTTTCCAAGTAACCGGGCAGTGACAGACCACCCACATAGCAACAGCGCCGCGTAGACAGAGCAGTGTATACCTGTGTGAGAACAACTGCCGTCAAGAAGAAGGAGGCGTTTGACACTGGCTTCTGTGAGTCAGATGTGATTTTATCCAAATGAAGTGTCATGTTATTTAAGTTATTTTGGACCGTGACACAGCATGAGGTACAGATGAGGTCTATGTTTGGGTTTAGTTTAGTTGTATTTTTGTTGTTTCACCAGTAGTTTGTACCTAGACTAATAATTTGACAAGCAAAAAAACAATGATTAAAATGGAGGATGTTAATACGTGCCAATAATCTGCTCATTCGACCACCAATAAAAAGTACTATTATTTTTGTAGTCAAAAGTATGGCTTATTATTGATAGATAGATAAGTAGTAAGTAAGTAAGTAAGTAATGTTTATTTATAAGCCGAACACACTGGCGCATCAACCTCCAATCAACACCATCCATTCACTCTCTCATTCACATTCATACCTATTGTGCATGTTTTTAGTGGTAGGGGAAACCGGAGCACCCGGAGGGAACCTTTGCAGACACAGGTAGAACATGCAAACTCCACTCAGAAAGGCCCTGTTCCGACCAGATTTCGAACCCCAGGACCTTCTTGCTGAGAAGCAAGAGTGCTATCCACTCTGCCACCGTGCCGCCCGATAGATAGTGTTGTATTTATAAATACATGACATTCTAAAACCATGTGTTTTATGACCTAAACGACCTCTAAGTGGGAGGCCAGTCCTTCTTATTTTATTTTAGGTGTCTTCTTGTGCCAGCAACTGGACACCAGATGGATTCTGCTGTTTGTATTTCACCCCCCTAGTCTTGGCCTGCTGACTTCTGCACTTTTCAACCTCACTCCATCAGGAGTCTGGCAGACGGAGGAAAAGGCTGGACCCTAGACCGGAAGCTGGCTGATAGGACACTCCCCTCCTTCCTGTTCTTTTTATGCTCTGGCTGGAGGCGGGAACTGGAGAAGCAGACCAGGGCCAGAGAGGGACATGGATAGTATAGGAGCTGGTTGAATTTCTGTTATTTGATTGTAAAGATAAATGAAATACAGATGTTAAACTTGAAGATCTCTGCCTTACTTCTGCATCCATTTTCGAACACGTCAGTCAAAGGGAATTATTGACTGCATTTGGAGACCCCCGATGTGATGGTGCAGGAGCAGGACAGAGATGAGCTCAAATATAGACTGGGTCCGTGGGCCGGGAGAATTCTCTCTTCTCTTCTCTCTTCTCTTCGAAAGAGGTAAGCGGATCGTTACTTTTGAAAATCTGCACATTGTTTTAAATGGAAGAGAGAGAGAGAATTCGGCTCGGCGGACTGCAGCGTGGCCAGACGACCGCCGTGACGGGCGTTCTATCGGACGCGATAGAACAATAGTCAGGTTTTTCGACGTTTTTGAACCTTGAGGGAAGCATGGGTCCCCTCTAAAAAAGAATATACAGGAAAAGAGCCACAGGGTTTAGAAGTGCAAAAGAGGCACACCTTCTTAAAAGTGCAGAGAGGCACAAGTGAATTAGTGAAAAAATAGGAATAGAATTAGAGAAATAGGGACAGATTTAGGGTCAGAAGTTATAGGATAATGAAACCTCCATATCCCCCGGGGGGTGGGAAAAAGGGTACAATTAATTTAAACAGAAAAAAGCCAAGTATTTAAAATGTGAATTCTGATAATAACGATCTGATTAATGAGAAAAAAGAGAGCCACTTGGCTGTAGTATACGAGTTTCATGTGAAGAAATGACAAAAGATCAGTTCTGGGAGTTTTTCTCTTATTCTGATGTAATGTTAATAGTTACAGAGAATCAAAAAAAAAAGATTCTGCTGGAACTCTCGATACATTAATCATGTAGCAAATGGTAATGTTTTCCATTACTGACGTATTTAAGGATAAAATGTAAAGTGTCGTTTGACGTGAGAAAAACTTTTACCACTGATTAAAACCTTGTCACGAGAAAAACGAGGAAAGTATTTCAGACTCCATGTTTTCCTTTGTTCGGGAGGCCCCTCCCCTTCTTCTTTTTCTCTCTCTCTCTCTCTTTCTGTCTTTCTCTCTCTCTCGTGAAGAAAGAAATTTTTTGTAGAAAATTACATTTATACACACGATAATGTTACTGACATGGAGTCATAGGATCACAGAACTTTGAGTTAGATTATAAAGAGGCATTATTTTATTTTTTATCTCCAAGGCGTCTGGACAAGTTTTTTTCCCTACATTTTGGTGATATAAAAGTTAGAATGATTTTAGAGAGCATTATACTTTTGGAAAAATAGGGCTTAGGATAGCAGTTGAATGCAAATTCGGTTTTCAGAATCTAATGTTTAAAATGTTAATATTAATTATTTCATAGGTTTATCTTGAATTGTAATTAATTATTGGTTTTGTATGGTAATTAACACACTTGTTTGTGCTTCTTGTTTGTCTGTTTTTTCCGAGAAAACTTTTGTCTGTTTCATTTGTGCCAAAATCGTCTGCCACAAGTCCTCAATCGGGCGCCATCAACACGGACCATCAGCGTCTCCCCCTCTCCCGGCGGGTCGCAGGGGGCAGCATCGGCTGCAGCAGCTAACAGGAACTCTCGAAGAAGACTCCTCCTGCCTGTGAGGAGGCAAAGAAAAGACCGCAGACTTTTTCACAAAATGAGTGTTGTCCCATCTACGGAACAGAAGGTGGCGGTAATGCGAAAAATAGGCCGCCAACCGCCGGAAACCTAACAAGAAGAAGAAGGACACACACATTTGTGTGCGTCAAAAATGAGACAAAGAAAGACATGAGAAAAGTTGTTGAAAGAAGAAGAAGAAAGAAAGTGATTGTTGAAAGAGGAAGTAAAAAGGCATTGAGGCAAAGACATTGGACACTTTGAGACAAAAGACATTGAAAGACGCCATAAGTAAAAGAAAGAGACATTAACGGACGCCATAAGAGGAGGACGTGGCTGGGCAAATGAAACAGACGGACGGTAATATACAGACAGACAAACAACGCACAGAGACATATTAAGACATATTTACACATTTAGGTCATTCGTTCATAACACTACATTTAGCTGCATGAAAGAATACAGGACAATCGTTAAAATTAATTAGACTCTTACTTTAGAATGAGACACAAGGAGATTAGAACAGCAGTATATTTAAGGTAGAGGAGCTCTATTATTGAAACTATTATTGTTATTTAAAGTTATAGACGCGGAGAAGTTTAGAATTATTGATTTTGACTGCATGATCTTGGTAATACGGATATTTAACGCGATTTTTTCAACCTCTGAACCGTGGCTCGTTAATCATTTAAAAACAATCACATGCACAGTTGAAACT